AGCGGCGGCTCCGCCCGCCGCGCACCTGGGCGCGCCCCGCCAGGCCCGGCCCGGCCGCGGGGCCGCCGTCCAGCCCCGAGTGCAGAGGGAAGGGCGTCCCCGAGGCTGCCTTCGCGTCATTTATTTACATATACATTTGTATGACCGATATTTATTTATTCGTAGGAAGCTTTGGCGGCTCTCCCCGCTCTGGCCCCGGCGGGAGCGATGTGAGCATCGCGCTTGGCAAAGAAGCCGCGCGGTTGCCGGCGACGCGCTGCGATGGCGCCCCGTGGTTTTACGGGCGCTCTGGTGCCCGAAGAAGCAATGGCCTGGGCTGCCCAAGGGAAAATTGCAAAGCAGGGGCTGAAAACTTGTTTTTTTCACTGCTGGGTGTTTTAGAAGGTCAGGGTCCCGTTCTATAAGTGCATTAAGTTACCTGTCTGGTTTATCTGTACAATTAATATAAATGTAATATTAATATTACAAGAACTTCTGCAAAGGATGGCCTGAACCAAGTGCAAGGGATTACATAAGATTAGCATATAAAAAGTTTCCTTTAACATTTCTAAAATACACATTACTGATGCAAAACAGCAGGTATCCTAAATAGTATTTAAAACTGCTATATTCAAGTCACAAAGGAAATGTCCCTCTTCCAGTRTGCGAGCATGGCCATAAGATAAGGTTTCCTGCTGAAGAGCTGATCTGCAGAGGAAACTCTGTGGGGGTCACCCCAGGTGATGCCCATGGAACAACCTTCCCCTTGGACCAGCTCTTGATGCTCCCCGTGTGGGGCCAGCTCCGCAGATTTGCCTCTYCAAAGGCCCCTTCCGTCATCTCACCATGGGAATCAAATCATCCCCGGTAATGGAATAAAATGCTTCATCTGAGCTGAGCTCATTTGTTTCTTGATTGAAAATCTTTATTAATCTAAACACACCCTTTGTGTGTTTAGAACTGCAACAAACTGTGAAAACACTATCACATTTTTTTTTCCCTCTGAGAAAAAAATAGTCAAAAAACCTTCTTCACTATCAATAGACATAAAGAATATGCATTCTATAATATAACTGTACTTCATTGATGATGTATAGTACTTTGTAGTACCAGTACTCAGCTGGTTTCAGAGAACTTAGAGACAATTTCAGGAAGAAAACTACATTAAAATAATTTATCAGCACTGATATTTTTCTTTATTTTGGATGTCATGTAAAAGTCAGATGKGAAGGAAAATAAAGTCTTGCTATGAAATCTTATGACATAAAAAGGAAGAAAATGTTGGCTTACCATTCAAAGTGGGCCATACCGAGTGATTTAGAGCTATGGTTAAATCACCAGCTAATGCAAATCACTTATTTCTGTGGAAATTCAGCAGCTATTACTAACCACAGATTGGCCCATTTAGGCCCATTGGGGCCATTCCGTGACAGGAATGTATGTAGTCCAAGCAACTCTGTGGCAGCTTGTCTCTCCAAAGGAGAAATAAGGATAATGACAATGAAAACTAATTATACATCAGTCTGCTGGAATATTTTACTAGTTTTTCCATGAAATTTATTGAAAATGCAAAAGAGAAATTWTGTCAGAATTCTGCTGCCTATGGAAAGAATGAAATATTTGTTGAAAATGAATGTCAAGCAGGCATTGATTTTAAGTGCTCATTTTAATACAAATTGAAGCACTGAATCGTATCTGGTCAACATTTTAATTTTACATTTACATTTATTCYGTCCTAATAAAATACAGTTTGCCTCTGAATGTTTTAACTTAACAAAGTCTGTGTGACTTCTTAGCTTTTAAGCTAAGGCTTCTTAGCTTAGTACTTCGATTGTGTTGGGCATAATTTTCTCATACGCGTATTTGGAGTTTCTTGAATATGTTATTATGTAGCATTTGATTATATTATCATAAATAAGGATGACAACAACTTATATGATCACAGTGAGAAAAATTCTCACTGTGCAGCTTGTCAAGATGCAGATGAGCAGCAAGGTAATTTTTTTTCTTTTTTTTCCACTTTTTTCTTTTTCCCAAGGAGATTTTCCTATGGCAATTGGAAGCCCTGCCACCACAGCTCAGCTTTGCTGTTCTGCGTTGCTGTCCTTTGCCTGCAGGCCCTCCTACCTGGCAGGGTCCAGGCATGGGCTCTGTTAAAYAAGGCAGGCCTGTAATCTGTGGTCTTTTACACAGGCTTAGTCTGTTTAGAAGTTTTAGCATCATTGAACTGGCAGCCTGTTCGGAGCTACCAGCACTTCTGTGGGGTCCCTGCACCCCTCTTTACCCTGATGGTGTTGAAGGACAGCCTGTTTTATCAGTTCTTGTCTCCCCATCAAGCACGTATGGTTAATAYTAAACTAAAAGTACAGTACCACCTACTGGAGGAGATACTGTTTGCACTGGTGTTTTTCTTGTCACCAAGTCCTGTTAGGGCTGATTGTGCTTTGGGACACGTGCTTTTGGTCCACACACAACAGTGATAAATAAGCCAGAAGTCCTGGGGCCTTCTCAACTCCAGTGCTCCAACGTGRTATCCACTCCTGTAAGTGTATTGATGCTAGAAAAGTACTTGCACAAAATAAACTACTGAGACCACAGCCACAATCTGAGCACTCCTCTTTGTAGATAGTTGCAACATGTTAAGCTTTAAGGCGGTATCGTTCCCTTAAAACTTGCTTATTCATACATAAATGCACATGTATGACATACCTAGCATTTTGGGCATGGGTGTCTGAAACTAAAGATAGCTTTAATAGGATTGAGAAGAATTACAGGGGTGCTGACACAGCAAGACACAAAAATAGATTAAAGTTAGCCTGCTAAAACAATAATCCATCGGTGCTGTCATTCTCCCATCAGTCAAGGTTACTCAGCTGGAATGCAGAACTATAGATAAAATACCCCTGTAAAAAAAAAAAAAAAAAAAAAAAAAAGAATAAACACTAAATATCATCTAATTTTCACTGAAGTCAAAGACAGAGAGCTCATCCAGACCTTGTCCTGGTCTGCAAACCTCTTCCCATGAAAGTGAGCTCCTGGTCACCATCAGAGAGACCAGGAACTGGTCTGATGCGGTAAGACTCAGGTCCTTGTGTTGGAGCACTTCTTTGGAAAGCTCCACTGTAAAACAGGCAAGCAATATTTACAGAAGTTGGAGCTGATTGGCAGGACTGGAAACACTTCTTTTAAAATAAGTTTTAATAAACTGTTTTCACCCAGAGTGAAAAGGTGAGGTCCCTCCTTTGGGGTTGGTATGAGCTTGAAATATGCAACACGGATGTGTCCAGCYTGGCTGGACAAGTAAAACTTTTGGACAAGTTACCTGCAAGTTACCTCTTGCAAGTAAAGAAATTATGATATTTTTCAGATATATATGCATAATTAGCGGTTCTTTTAAGTATCAGGCTAGAAAGAATTATGTTAGTTTAGTTAAGTTACCATTATTTCTCTTGTAAATTGACAATATGTTAAAATCAGACAAACATGCAGCAAACTTGCATTTATGGGGTTTTGTCTATTSTAGCAAAGAGCCAGAAGAGCTTTCTTATAATAAACAACAAAACAACTATCTGCAACATTAAAAAAAAGACAGCTGACAAACAATACAGAATATATACTATTCTGGTTTGGTTTGGTTTGGTTTCAAGATGTTTACCATTTATTGTGCATGTTCACAGGACCACTAAGCTTCTTCTCAGGTGAGGGATAATGTTAACTGCCATTGTCCCTTTCATCTGTCTCTAAATCTCAAAATCCATCATTAGGTCAAGGAAATCTTCCTCTAATCGCCATGTCCTTCCCTGGGAATAATTCAGAGTACTGCACCTGAGACCAGGCTGCTTGAGAAACCAATCAATAAAGGATTTATGCCTGCAATGTTTTGTTTGCAATATTTAAATGCAATATTTAGATTTTCTTGATGGCATTGCTTATTAGCATGGAGATGTGGCTGATTTAAAGGACTGGAAAGACCAGTAGAAGCAGCAGATTACGTTACCAAGGTAAGCAATGATGATTGCAAACTTCTTACTGCAAAACTGCTAAGAAATCTTCTTGCATGTTAGAAAATACAAGTATTTTGCTGCAAGACAGTGCAGATTTTAATATTACTGAATACTTTTTGGTGTTTCTAGTAGAGCAGAAAGCAGATCTTTACACTTGGCCGAATTCTTTCTCAGATATCCTTATTGAAAACATTCCTTCCCTGAACATAATGAGATTAAAGAAGTGAGTACCTTGGCCCCAAAAGAAATTTTGAAACAGAAATAAATAGATAAAATAAAAGAATAGAAAAGAAATAGATAAAAGAGCATAAGAGCTAGTAGCTAATCCTCCACTTACTACAGTCCTGTAAAAGGACAATGTTGCCTTCATTTTCTTGTAACTTAAACATATTGATGTGTATTAGTTAATATAAATA